CCGATGTTACGCAATTGTGGCTTAGCCCTCAAACCATCCGGCTTGCGGGGTAATAGAAAATAAAAATATTTCAGAATGTTACAGCTAACAGATGAGGTTTGAAAGATGATCAAACACACAATTTGAGCAGAAATAGTACTGCAGAATGCGGACATGCCTGTCTATTAGAAATACAAATTGATGAATGCCCTACCTTTCTGGATCCCATGAGTTACCAGAACAAGTCCATTTGGAGGGAAGAACAGCATTAGCAGGCAGTTTACGCCACTTAAAACACTCTTCACACTGAGCCCATTGAATCTTTTCTCTGACAAGGTAAAATAGAGTTGAGATTTGCTTAACCCAACAGCAAAACTCTAGAAATGAATATTAACAGGCAAAAGGATATTTGAACAAACTCTTCTTTTTTTAAAAAAAGGATATTTGAACTAACTCCTAGGCAGACTCAGTATATGTAGAAACAAACATTCGTAATGTAGTCTGACAACTTAAAAAAATGATAATTTTACTTCTCCATGTGAAAGCACCCACAAAGTAACATTAAAAAACCAGTCAGCCAAAAGTAGTTGAGCATTTGCTCTTTCCCCACCAATTACTATCATATAAAAAAATTTTAAATGGACTAAGTCAGAGAGCAGATAGTCACAGAACCAGCAGAAATAACCTGAATAGGAATATATAACAACACATAAAAAGCTCAAAAAACAAAAAGAAGAAACTTAGAAGCTTAATCACTGAAGATAGAGGATTTACCCAGTATCATCAGTCGCCAATATTGTTGGCTTCCCTAGTATTGGCGCATCCTGACATAGCACATTAAATTCAGGAACTTGCTCCTCAAAAACAATAACATGATGCATAGAAAACTAACAAGTAGAAAAATGACAAATAGAACAAAACTTGATTACATCTTCTTTTTTCTTTTCTTTTTTTTTTTGTTTTTATAATTTCCCCTTCAAGGTCATTACTAAAAGGAGAAACCTCAGGCCGACATAGGAGACAGCGTCGAACCGCATTAAAGGCAGTGAGCTTCGTAGCTTTGGCCAAAACTTAACAAATTTAGTATAAACTAGATGCAAAAAAATGCTCTTTCATCTGAAAAAGAATTGTAGTTAAATGGCATTTGTATCACTTAAAATGACAAGGATAATTGGCTTATGGTAGATCATCCTCAGAGATCTGCCAACAGTTAGTGAAGACAGACATGAATTCCGAGTTACATTTTTTCTAAGTAGAAAAAGAAATATTTTATACAGGGGCATAAAGGGGGCGCCATCCATATGCATGGAAAAGACAGCCAAAAAAGTTGTGCAACAAAACCTGATAAAATATTAATGAGCTTCCCATTACTATTGAGTTAGTCACCTGAAGAAAATAATTAGTGTATAGATACAATTGGAAACCCCCCCCAAAAACAAAAAAAAAAAGAATATTATTAAACTAGCAAGAAATTAAAAAATAAAAAGCTCAAGTTTTTTAGTTCATTTTGAATCTAAAATAAATGAACAGATTAGATAAAAATACAATAAACTTTTAAGATAAAAGAATAGATAACTCAGATTAAAAAACATAAATAAAGTAACAAAAATTTATACTGTCTAGATCTTCTCCGTGGAGAATTTGAAGTTACAAACATCAAGGCATCAAAGAACCCCCTTTTCATTTTTCTATGAAGCAAGCCAAGGTCTTCATCTGCTACTCTCACTGTCTTTCAACCCAGCCTACTACTTTTTGACTCTTGTACATATATGAATTGCTTATCAGCAAGTTCAGAATTGAAAATGTACGTTTGATATTCTTAGTGGAAAACACAACGGAGTTCAGTTCTTCCTAGAGTAGAAAAGAGTCTAAAATTTCTGTAATAAAAATTTCTATTTTAATCAGCCACAATTCTACCAAGTTCATCTAGCATACTAATCAAAACCAGGGGTATAAATGTAGTGAGTAGTCTAATTTTCTTCCCATTGAAAGGCACAAGCACATTATACAAATCCCACAAAAGAAAGACTGAAACACAAAAATCATAGAAGAAGACCATATGAGACTAGAGGGGAAGAAGCAAAAAACCGAAAAGAGGAATTATCACTTAGAATCCAAATTTGATATGAGTAGTAAACAAATATTGACCATGATACCTCGTATTCCTCAAACTCAAAGCCTTCTATCACCACAATGCTTGGAACATTGCTAGGAGGTCGGAGCAGTCCTTGTGCTTCTTCCCATGTTAGTTTCAGTTCTATCAGGTCTTCACTGTCAAGTCTAAGACGCTTACTCTTTGAACCCAATGTGCTGCTCTTCCTCTTCCTCGACATTGATTTCGCTCCAATAGCTTCTTTTGCTATATATCCCGACTTATCAACTTTAGACCATGAACTTGGATCTCCAAAGTCAACCTGGTGATGGTTGAAAAGTTAGCAAATCTGATAAACCTTTTAAATGATTTAGCGTTAAAAAAATAATCAGCTTTACTTTTTGTGGGATACTAACATCTCCATTTGTAGCAACTCCATTACTAACCATGGCCGTTTCATTGTCCTGTCAATTGAAACACAGAAACACATAAAAGAGATCAAATGAACTGCTTAAAGTTTCTTTGCTTAACAAAAAATCAGAAGCTAAAGATTGCAACACATGCTAGAATTCTGTGCAAATAATAGGATAAATTTTATCCGCAGGTTAACAGGTTTGTGAACTTTAGATAAAAAGAAATGACAAAAAATTTGAGATAAAAAAATTTGCTTCTTTGTCAAACAAAGCAAAAGCCAAATACATGACACTCGATATTATAAATATGTCAATATCCATTCACGGTTAAAGTAGTCGTATCAGAAGTAATAGACAAATTGCAGTCCTTTACTAAATCTTTAAGGTACATCTTCCTCCATCCTAACCATCCAACATTATTAGATTATTAAAAAAGGAAATAGGAATGGCCTCAATTGAAAAACACTAAAAAAAATTGATGATTCTGTAATTAAATTGCTCCAGGAATCATGATGATGAAAAGAAAGAGCATCTAGTAAATTGCTTGTGTGAATAACAGTTTTTATCACCTGGCTATGTACAATGTACGATTAGAATTAAGGTGCTTGACATTGCATGAAACCAAACCTGATCAGAGGATGGAGCTGCTGAAGCCTTTCTGAATCCCATAACTAATTTCCCTTCTGGATCTAACCTACTAAATGTCACTGCAGAAAAGAATAAAACCTAATTCAAAATCAATGGTCATCTCAATATGAGAAATAGACAAAATGCTCAGATATCAATCAGTATATAATGATAAAACAAATTAGTAAAATAGAATTGAAAAAAAAAACCTTTTTAGAAAAGAAACTAAAGATCAACAAAGCAGACAATAACTTAAATCTTTGACCACAGTCAGAGAAACCTTTTTTTTAAGAAAAAAGAAAAACTACAATCCCAAGCCACCTTATTAATCTTGGAACATATAAAATATACTAGTTAAGCCAAGCAGCAGAAGAACCAATTCCAGAGATTCCAGAGAAGAAAAAACAGTTAGTGCATGGACGCAAATACACATAAAACAGCACATAATAAACCACACTTCAGAAGTCGCAAGTTTCAGACCATCACTGTCCAGTAGCACTAGTTACTTACCTATGTCACCTGCCTGTAACTGCATGTTCTGTATGCACGGAGTAACTCCCTCTAAAACATACATCTGCTATATTGTGGGCCAAAAGCGGAACTGAAATATCCATTCTTTGCCTTTTGAGTCCTGGACTTTAAGAGGTAAACCCTTCCGGGCTGAGAGATTGGTGGGAAGTAGGCTAGGGCACAAAAACTACATCTTAGACTTTTATGATTATTTGGAAAAATATATGTACAACTAAGCCATACCCAACCAATTCAGAGAGATTTGTAAAAAGCTTAATTGTGTGTCTGACTATTTAAATAATACCTTCATAGCACAATAAGGTTATTAACGTCACAGCAGTGCTTATATTTAACAGTATAGATTTCGTGACACAATATATTACATCAAAGAACACTGTTCCTAAAATCCTTTAATAATAATATTCAAGAAAAAAAAAATTCTCTGCAACAAGAATATATGAAGTCGATAATGGATATAAGCATATGATTTCTGCTCTTTAGTCACTGATGACCACATCAATTCATTTTATTGCTGGGTACTTTAAGCTCTAAAATTAAACAGAAAGAAACAGACTGAAATTATGCAACAGAACAATAAAAACATACTACAGTTTGACCGTAAGTATCTACACGTAAACATAAGGTTGATATAGAAGCATTTGAGCATACTGACATCCAAATGGTATATCCGCCACCTAAGATAAGAACCCCTTGACACATTTTTTTGAAATAAACAACCACTTGACACATATGCCAAACTAGTACCATAATCCCTAGGCTTCTGTCCATGAAAGGGATAAAATATGGAAAGAATAACATTTAGAAGAAAATTTTCAAGCCTCCATGAATCAAGTCCTAAGGTGATGTGAGTAATAACTCACACTGACGCATCGAACACAATGTATGGCTCAGGGCAATAAACAATAATAAAATAAAACTATTAACCAAAAGAAAATATCAAAACAAAACCCAGAGTTTGAATGATGAGCAAATAAGAACATCCCTAGGTAGGCTGTTACAGGAACTCACCTCTGCACATTTTTTTGGTAGCACTAAACGCCCGATCCGCCCTGCATCGCTGGCACTTAACATTTTCTCAAACAAAGGAGTGATGACAGAATTCGAACTTACATATGGTTAAGGTTATAGGACAGGAAGCTTAATCCAGCAGAGAGATAAAAACGGGCAGGGGGTGGACATTTGGTTAAATACAATGTAAAGAAGAGCTAGCTCATCTTTTTTTTTTTTTTGTGAAAAGGAAGAACCTAGCTCATTTCAATAATGAAATGGAGAACAGAACAGATCAAACAAGAGTAGGAAATCAGTCTTCACACTGGAACTGCCTCAACAATTTAATGGTGTCACAATCAGAAAAAAAAAAGAAGTGCATTCACTAACCCACAAAAAAAAGTTCATAGAAGTAAAGGATACCCCAAGAAAGCTTCTGTAGATCTTGATCAGTAAATCTGGGCCATAACGAGACAGCAATGACTTTCCCACGACCATCACACGGGCTCCATGCGATCTGACATCACCTGA